TCTCTCTCTCTCTCTCTCTCTCTCTCTCTCTCTCTCTCTCTCTCTCTGTCTCCAGGTGTGTGCATGCGTGTGTGTGTGTGTGTGTTTATATGGTGGATGATATGTACACTACATTTTTATGGATATACGAATATATTGAAGCCAGAAGAGGACATTTTAAGAGAAGTTGCAGGTAGTTGTGAGCTATACAACATGGATGCTATGAACTGAACAGTGGTCCACTGGTAGAAGAACAAGAGGTCTAGATCACTATGCTATCTCTGTAGTCTCCAAACTAGATTTCTTAAACAAGGAAGAGTAGAAGCTTTTCCCATCTTTTCCAATGACTTCATTGTTTATGTTATAAACAATCTCCTATACCTCAAGTAGCTCTGTATTGCTTAGATGTCAAGTACTGAATGAGGCCTGGCTTTCTCAGCTGGGGCTGAGGTATACAGATCAGTCAAAAAAATCCTATGAGAAATCTGAGGATAAATTATCCAAGTAAAATCATCAACTACAGTGCTGTGCACTATCGTCTAGTACAGATTTAAATACAGTACATTATTCTCTGTTTAAGCAACATTCTTCTCTAATTGGTACATACATTTTATAACTCAAACAATCTAGATAATGTTACGTTAAATACTGAAGTGTATGATATAATAGCCACAATCTGGTAAGGCCATAGCAAAACCTCAAGTGCATATAAAAGTTAGGACAGCATAGCTAGAGGTCATTTCATGTTCTATTCTATCACTCGCCATATTATTCTCTTGACACATGGTCTCTACTGAAACACTAGGAAAGAATTTATTTCAGCGCATAGCTTGTGGGCACAATCCTAGTGGCATGAGGTTGAAGTATGTGGCATCTGCAGTCCAGAAACAGAGATAAACGCTCAACTCAGTTTCTCCTTTTTGTTGAGTCCATGACTCTAGACAATGGAATGATGCCACCTAAACTCAGGGCCAGCCTTCCTGCCTATATTAACCCATTGTAGAAACCCTTTAACAGACATCCCCCAAGTTGATTCTAAATTGTTTCAAATTTTCACTCAATAATAGCTGTCACAACACCCAAAATAGAAGACTCAATCTTTTTGTAACCTAATTTTGGGCATGACAGCCTCTCACTTCTGGTATATTCTGCTTATTAGATGCAAAGAAATAAGGCATGCTCATGCTTAAATGTATTAATTTGACAAATGTCTCTCAATATACAGGGATAAGTCACTAGAGATGAGCTGAGAGTCTATTATAGGCAAGACAGAAAAAAATATTATTTTCAAAGCTTCTGAGACAGATCAGTCAGAAAAGTATTTGAAGCACAGGAACATGAATTTGATCCCAAGACACCATAAAAAGCTGGTTAAGGTGGTATACACTTGTAAGTTCAGCCTAGGGTGGTTGTGAACAAGTAGATCCTTGGATCTTGCTGGCCACCTTGACTAGCTTAATCAGTAAGTTCCAGGCCAATGATAAAACTTGTCTCAGAGGGGACAGATTGTGTTCCTTTTTCCTGTCCAGCAGGACATTAAACAGGGATCCGGGGAGGTCACCTGAAAGAGAGAAGAGGGACCAGGCAAAGCCGCAAGGAAGTCACAACCTTTCTATAATCTGATCAGATCATAATTTTTACTTTTCTACACACAGGTTTTATACACAAAAGGGCAGGATGTGGGGAAGGGGATGATGCAGGAGTGTGGATGTTCAGGGGGAGTACAGATATCTTCCAGAACAGAGTGTCAGCTGGGTGAAGGTTCAGAGGACAGACCACTATGACTCCACCTATGATTCACTTGTCTTTATCAAAGTCGGTACTATCCACCAAGGTTACCTATCTACAAGGCCTAATGACTAGCCAGACTTGGCAGCCTTCCACCAGAGCTGTCTGTTTACAATAACTCCCAGCTATCTGTTTCAGTGTATTTCCACAGAGACCCAAGACTTGGTGCTAGCAGGCAAGAATGTCAGGTCTATTGCTGATTTTTAGGCCTATGGTTGATTTTAGGCCTTCAGTGTATAAGTAGGGCTGCTCCTGACATTCCTTAGAATAATACCTAAGGCTGTCATTGGATTCTATGTGTTTGTTTACATACACACTCTTTCTTCTTTCACACAAACACGCACACATGAACAACCATAAAATTTGTTTCTAAAACAATGATACCTATCAATAAGAATAAAATACCTGAAACACTTAGCATAGTGTTGAGAAGCTGATTGATAGGTGCTCATCTCTCCATTCTGATTCAGGACGACCAGGCGGAAGGGCCTCAGTCCACATGCTTGTAAAAGTTAGGAACAGATCTGTATAGTCAGGGGAGTTTTTGAATATTTATTAGATTCCTGGTTATAGAGCTGAGTTAATCACTTTGCATGACAATGTTTTTCATGTTCACAGTTAGAACCACAGTCCTCCTTTTGTGGAGAATATAAACTTTATCTGGCACTGCACTGTCTTTAACTAATTGGTAAGATATTTGAGTACAGAGATTTTTGTAGTTCTTGGGTCACAAATATAGTTTTACTGTGACACAGGCCCTGGCGGTATTCTGCCCTAAAGAACCCAGGAACTGCTTCTATTCTTACGCATATGCCACTATATTAACACACACTTTCTAGTAAGAAAGACTGGCAAGAGCTGCTGGGTTACCCAGCTATAAGAGAGGGAAAAAAATAGAACATTCTTGACCTGTTTCTTAAGTATTGGACCAAGTGGAGATAAGTTAAGCGAGTAGCCTAAATGGCAAGGATTGCGTCAGAAGGTTAGCCTACAGTTCTTTTCTGAAGATCATTTGTCCTATACTTTACAAAATGTGAATCTCTTAATGTGTCTTTCAAATGGACTAAAAATATCTTTGTGTTCACACTTTTCTTTCCAGAAAGATTAGAAGGGATAAAATAAAAGCCAAAGCAGGCAGTATAGATTATTCTTGCTTTAAATTTCTAAACATATTTATTTTCAAAATAACTGAGATCTTAATAGAATAATGAGAGGAAAATAACAATAAATAAATGGCTGTTGCCGCAGTAACCTGTGTGTGTGTGTGTGTGTGTGTGTGCATGTGTGTACATGCACCTGTGTGTGCTTTTGTGTGTATATATACATGTGGATGGTTTATTTGAATGCCTATACATTCCAGGGTTACATATGCACAGAGGTCAGATGGGGTATAGGGCACCTGCTTTATCATTGTTGCATTATTTATTGAATACAGAATCTCTTATAAAATTCTGAACTAAGCTGGCAGTCACTGAGACCCAGGATCCTCCTATCTCCCACTTTCATATAGTTGGGTTTACAGAACCCCATGTGGCCACAAGTGGCTGTGGATGTACTTCAGATTCCATATCAGGTCCTCAGGCTTGCTCAGACCTCTTATCTAATCATCTATGTGTTCAGAAATCTTTAATGGCCAGCAAGTCTACCCTTGAAATGTGGTGTGTCTTGTAATGCAGAGTGTGGCACGGTTTACTGATTCTTCAGGGTATCCAGATTCTAGAGAGCTACCTCTGACTAGGTCAGGGTTTCCCATAAGTCTGAGAAGGAAGTTGATTCTAGTGAAAAGGACAGATGAGACATAGCTGCTATCTTTTGACATGCATATTTTCCTACAAGGACACCACAGTTCACAAAGTATTTGGGATCTTTTGCACTGAAAGAGAAGAAAACACTTAGAAAGTGAATATGCACACCACCTAGAAACAATCTAAATTCTGTTGTTCTAGATAATGGAACTTGATGAAAATGAAAGCCAATAGTATCATGCTTGCTTTGTTTCTTTTTATTTCTTTTCTTGAAAGGCTCACATATTTGAGTATCCAAAGAAATAAAGGTTCTTCTTTACATCTTCTATTATCTGGCAAAGAGTTGAGGCTGGATTCATGGGCCCTGATGCTCAGGCAAGACCTTATCAGAAGGATGCATAGTTAGCAAATCTCAACAAACTTCATGGTATGATTATCTTAAGATATCCACACCTAGAAGAAAGATTTATGAATTAGATGCTGAGCAAAAGGAATCATGTTGGCATTCACCCTAAGGCCTTTCGATTTGATTGCAATATGAATGTTTTGAATAATGTTCGTGAAAATGAGTTTTCACCTAATTTCTCCCTAAGACCTTCTCAAAAGGACTTCAAT